TTGATTACCCAATCATAAGGCCTACCAACCTGAGAAGCGAATGTGATTTTCCTCAAGATTCCAATAGCCCCAGCAACTGGACGACTCTAACATCTCAAATCGATCGAACATTGCGGTTGATACGAAAGCTAAAACAGTATCAATAGCACACGTGTTTGCTACTGCTGTTGATTAACACGCATTTCTAAACACGGTGCTACCGTTATCGGAACTGAAGACAAAATACTGCTAATCGCGGGGAACCAGCGATTCTGGAGGCGTAATCACCACATGAGTTTATCTAGAGTTATTCTACCAGATAAACAACGTCTATCAGCTTTAAATAAACAGGGACGGACTTGAGGTCATTAAATCATCAAATCAGACGGTAGTCCGCTTTTCTTGGATACCCTTGGATTCAGCAGAGCTGCTACCGGGCGCGTCTCCGGGTAGAGGGTTTTAGGTTGATCACCTGGCTCCTGTTTAAAAGCTGCATAAGCCTAATGACGACGTTGTGCCAAAGGTTGATGTGACTGGTCTTTGAAAACTCAAGTCATTGACCCCTCTGACTTTTGAGGCGAGAAATTACTTCCTGCTGCCTTGCAGTTTGCACTTGGTTGTGCAAAGGCTAGAGGTGCGCCCTCAAAATAAAAAACACCGAGTGATGTTGGGGACGTCTTTCGTACGAAACTCCCAATGATTTTCATGATCATGTCTGGAACCACGTTATCCTTTCCAAGGAGCCAGCCGCAGTAAAGTAGAGTAAGTATTCCCCTTTCCCAGCACTCTTGAATTGTCCGTAATCAATATGAATCAGATCTAACGGACTTTTTAATGAGATTGTGAAATTTAGAACAATAACAAGCTTGGCGACAGAGACAATAAATTTCTGACGTGTCGATTGCCACGGGTAATTCCCACAATCAAATAACTCTTGGTTAACGGTTATCCGTCAACATATGCGTGTGAATACGTAGAAGCTTATGAATGGGTGAGTCGGTTGTAGCATTATCTCCCATTATCGAAACCGATGATGAGGCCAGGCAGCAGTGGGATGATCATTTATTAATGACCCTAGGGTAGTCAAAATATTTGGAATCTCTGCCCAGTCGTTTTGGTCAACATACGCGGAAGGGGTGCTAATAGACAACGCCTCGATATAACAACGCTCATCGTTGGTTCGCTATCCAAATTTTTGGTTTTCGTAGTCTATATTAGGTGCTTTAGCTAATGACATGAAGCACGATAAATCATTTACTTGATAGGAAAACACCTCTAAGCGGGCAGACTGATGTGTTCCCTGGGCATCCTCTCACTCTTTGGTTTCCGTTGCCTACCCAACTCTGAATCACAGCTCCCAGATGATGGGGTATGGAACACCTTCGTAACAAGCCTTCTCAAAAAGCCAGTTGTAATGAAGTAAAGGAATAGGATTTACGGTGAATGCATTTTTTAAACACTTCTAAAATTAGGTCCTAAAACCAAACTATAAATTACTTTGGTCGACACGGAATCCAGGTAACTAAAGGGGATAATTCTGTTTTGAGGAATACAGAAAATACATATGTTTCGCTACTTGGAAAGATATCAAGTTACGCATTGGTGAATATTGAATGTATTACGTGATGGACAGAAAGCCACGTACTGCATGCGTTATTGTAGAACACAGTAAGTAGGCAACCGCATTCACTAACAGGAACAACCGTCTCGGTAGACACATTGTAGGAGTGAGTAGGCAGGCAAACAGTGCAGGCTTCACATGCAATTCATGAATTCATATCAAGCAGCTAAGCACACAACAAATCAATCCTGGCGGGATGTTCAATAATGCCTCCGAAAGCCTCGGTATGATGGGGCTATAACCGGGTTGGTGGATTACTGGTAGTTCACCTAGGGGAGTTGGCCAGAAACCCTGATTCCAAACCAAACAAGAGGCGTACGAACCACACACGCCTTCCCGGTTGTGACATTGGTTGTGGATAGGAGGATACCTTCACTGAAGAAGGTTAGTTGTGAATAAGTTGTGGCATACCGCAGTCGCAAAGAAACAGTGGCAGCACTACCAGGGTGTGGTGGGTTTCTGGTTGGTCACCTGGCTCCTGTTTAAAAGCCGCATAAGCCCAATGACGGTGTCGTGACAAAGGTCAATGTGACTGGCCTTTTAAAACTAGTCATTGAGTTGGCCAGAAACCCTGATTCCAGACCAAACAAGAGGCGTACGGACCACACACACGCCTTCCCGGTTGTGGCAGTGGTCAGGGGCTAATTTAGGGTATCAAGGTACATTGGGCACCTTTTACGTTTGACCCCATCTAAAGGGCATGTGATCCGATGAACTGGACACCGACCCCCAATTTATTCATCGTAACCAATCAGTACTATCGTTAGGAGTTATGAAAATCTTCAACAGTAGTCAGAACTGAGTGGGGAGCGTTGAGTTTGGATCAGAACCCACAGAATTCATTTTACTGCACACTTTCGTGTGATGAACAACATAATACGAGGCGAACCCCATAGTCACGAGAACTTGATGTTCGGTCATGGAAACCGGTAACCTATACACCGGGACTTGGAGTGGTGCACCACATAAGGACCCGATAGGTTAGGCATTCAATATGTGAACGGGAGCACTCGATGAACTAGATAGATGCCATATGATATCATGGTTCTACACCACAATAAAGACTGCCGATCATTCCGTTCTTCCAGCTACCAACATAAAAAAATCGGCATTGGAGCACTTTGTTACGAAGTTAAAGGTAGCCTTACATGCACGGAATACATTAATGCCTAAGGGGAGATGAAAACACTAGAATTTCCCCTGTCCAAACATCTATGATGACAATGAATTCCTGAATCAAAATGAAATTCAAAGGGAACGTTGATATTTGTGCGAAAAAAAATGGGCAAAACATGAACAGATCGAGTGACTCACTAGCTTTCCAAATGCGTTCTGCTTCGGTTTCGGCTTCCGGCGCCACTTGCGTTTGTTTGGCGAACCGGAACTTGTGGTAACAAGCTGGCTTAATACGCCCGCAAGTTGTCCGGATGAAGACACTGAATGGATTTTTATTGAAAAGGTGGCAAACATCAAAACAACCAGTGAGCACACTGAACAGTCTTAGAGACAACAGGTGAGAGAGCAAATGAATCAGATAGAACCAGTATCGGGGTTCAATAATATTCAACATTCTTTTTGAATAACCTAAGGGATAATGAGGAATTTAATTGTACTGATTTTCATACTAATCCAATAGAAAAAGTGGCCTGATAACCGTCGAGTTCCAGTTACTAGCTAGGTTGTTTTCGTCAACTGTCGATCATGCGATAACCACAAGATTTAGTCATGTGGTGTTCATATTGACCATAGACTCACCTTTCGCGAGATATTAGAGCGTAATCACTCATGGATTGCGGTTGATAAACACCGCACACTGTATTGTGGGTCGGTTTTTGGTTTCCTACAGGCTCCGACTATGAAGTTCTCAAGAAAACTCACTTGTTTTGACCTTATTAGGCTGGCAATATTCCGCCCACTGGCAGATTATGGACTTATTTCTGTTGAGGATTATGCCGTGATTTGTTTGGCAGTCTGGAGTCACACAAATATACAACCACTCGTTTTACCTGCTGGATGTGATTTTTTATTGCACGCCAATAGATGAGTAGTATAGTTCAGCTGCGCTAACCGGTAATTTATACTACGCGACTTGTAGCAACGAACTGCAAAATTTACCCGAACATATTATATATATATATATATATATATATATATATCATAATAAG